ACTCAACGTATCGCAGACGATCTTTCGCAGCGTTTCATGCTCGATGTCGTCTCCGAAAAACCCTCCGCTACACGGCAGGCGATCTCGTGGAACGACATGGATGCGATTCCATCGTAAAACGAACGGGGCAGTTTTTCAATTTGTTCGGGCATGTAGAGTCCCTTGTCGGGAGCCAGGCCTCGGACGACCGCTTCGCCGAGCGTAACTTCCGGCGCCGTATGGTTCGTGCTGTAATATTTCATCGTTTTTTTGCTTTTACCGACGGCCCGCTGGCCGCTTTTCGTACTATTTTCTTAAAATGAATCGTTCCATGAACTGATCGCCCGAAAGGTCGCCATAGCTGCCTTCCGGGCTGCGAATTCGTCGAACGCCTGCACCTCGTCGCCCGGTTCGTTCGTCCGGTAGATCGTGAACGGGATCGGTTTCGACGTGTGGGTGCGGAGCGCGCACGGAGTCGGGTGATCCGGCAGGATGGCGATCGAAACCGGCTCGTCCCAGGTCGAAACGGCGTCGAGGATCGGTTTGACGATGCGCCGGTCGAGGTATTCGATCGTTTTCATCTTCAGCGCGACATCGCCCTCGTGCCCCGCTTCGTCGCTGGCTTCGATGTGCAAAAATACGAAATCGTGCGTGCGGAGCGCTTCGATGGCAGCCTGCGCTTTCCCTCGTAATTCGTATTGTAAAGCCCCGTAGCGCCTTCGACATCGATCGATTCGAGGCCGGCATAGACGCCGATTCCTTAATCAGGTCTACCGCCGAAATCACTACGCCGCTGCCGATTCCGTAACGCTGCATCAGCGTCTGCATCTGCGGGCGATAGCCCGGCGACCATGGCCAGATGCTGTTCGCCGGATCTTTTCCGGCCGCTTTGCGGGCCAGGTTGACCGGATGGTTTTCCAGCAATGTCATCGAACGTTCGATCAGTTCGTTCAACTGCCGAGCGGTCGGCTCTCCGTCGGTGTCGGCGGCCCTGACCAAAACGTCTTTGTAAGGAGTGCCCGGCACGTCGTGCGGAGGCGTCGTAACGATGCGTTTGCTTCCTCCCTTGATTTTCAGCAGGTGCCGATATGAAACTCCCGGAAAGAAGTTGACGTCCTCGCCGCCGAGTTCTTTTTGCAGGAAGGCGATCAGTTCGGCGGCTTCCGCATTCGAGATGTGTCCGGCCGAATGGTTTTTGATTTTTCCGTCCTCGATCGTAATCAGGTTGCAGCGCATGGCCATCTCCCCGTCTTCGATCTTGACTCCCATACTGGCGGCTTCCAGCGAGCCGCGTCCCTCGAAAACTTTCGGAACGTCGTAGCCGAGTACCGACAAATTGGCGATTTCGCTGCCCGGAGCGAATCCGGCAGGAACCGTAGCGAGCATTCCGCTGCGACCGTGCGCCGCCACCCAATCGATGGCCGGTTTGGAAACCGCTTGCAGCGGAGTTTTGTTTTCCAGGGCTTCGATCGGCTCGTCGGCCATGCCGTCGCCCAAGACAATGATGTATTCATATGTCGTATTTTAAAATTTCAAATCATTCGGGGCTAATGAACTCCGTCGAAACGGACATCAACGGACGTCTTTCAGCGTTACGAATCCGAACCGGAACCCTTCCTGCGGCAGCGGTGCCGTGAAAGTCCCCTTTTCGCGGTTCAACGTCCCCCCGACCGTGTGCCATACCCGGTGCGCGTTGTCCGACAGCGTATCGTTCGTATAGTAAAACTCGGCCGAATAGGGAAATATGCCTGTGCGGAACGAAACCCGCAGACTGTCGTCCAGGCTTACGTCCGTTATCCGGATCGGCGGATATCCGTCGCCGACCGCGCTTTCGAAAAAACACCGGATTTCGGCCGGTTCCCACCCTTCGTAATGTCCGTGCCGCATACCGGGACGGATGCAAACTTCGCGGAAATGTTGCGGAATCAGGCGGCAGCTTTTCTGGTACTGGGGCACATCGAAAGCGGTATCGGTGTTTCCGTTGACCATCAGCATCGGGATGCCGACGTACGGGAGATACACGGACGGGTCCAGATCGCGCATCCACCGTGCTTTTCCGTCGGCCGACAGTTTGCTCATGCCGTAGTCGAAGAATTTCAGTTCGTCCATGTATCCGCATCCGTACACCGGCGCCGCGGCTTTGAAGCGGTTATCGAGCGCGGCGACGATACAGGTCAGGTAACCGCCCCAACTGATGCCCGTCAGGCACGTCTTGTCCGCGTCCACCTGTTTCATGGAAAGTAGCAGCGAGTGCGCCAGAATTGCGGACGAGACGGCGTGATAAGTCCACGAACGTTTCATGTCTCCGTTTTCTGCCTGCATGAATACGGCTTCGTCGTCGCCGAGATTCGGCCCTCCGTCGGGCAGCGGCCGGATCTCCGGCCCGTTGCCGCACAGATCGATCGCAATGGCGGCATACCCTTCGGCCGCCCATTTTTCGACCCATTGTCGGAAAGCCCATCCGGCGCCTCCGTGAAGCAGTACGACGCCCGCATACTTCTTTTTCCCGTGCGGGCGGTTCGCTAGTAAATCGGGGTCGGAGTAATAAGCGAAAACCCGGGTCGGTTTGCCCTGATAATCGACGCTGCGCAACAGCAACGAACGCACCCCGTCGCCGGGCGCATCGTCCAGCCACTCGACTTGCGGAACCCGACTCAACAGGGCGAGGTCCCACAGCCGGTTAACCTCGCCCACCGGTTCGTTGTCGATAACAGGAACCGTTTTTCCCCCCGCAAGGCCCGTGCTCAAGCACCCCAGCAGCAATATGGTAAAAAACGCTTTCATGTCGGCTCGTCGTTTTCGTGATCGTTTTAATCCCGGCGTATCATTAACGCCGACGTATCGGCATCGATGCAATCGGGGGCGGGAGTTACATGGAAATTGGCGGCGATCCGGCACACCACATCCGTAGACGGCGCGCAGCGCATACCGCCGGCGGCCATTGCCTTCAGGTAGATACCCGCCGCCTTGTCGGCCATGTGGATCAGGCCGAACGCCGCGTCCAGGTTGCGTCCCCGGGCGAATACCCCGTGATGCTGCCACATGGCCATCGACCGTTTGCGGAAGGCTGCGGCCGTAGCGTCGGCGATTTCGTCGCCGCCGGCCATCATCCACGGGATGAATTCGATGCCCTGCGGAAATCCGACGACGCACTCCACATGCGACTGCCAAAGCAGTTTGCTGAGCAACGGGGTCGTCAGCTCATGCAGGTAAGTGAGCGCGATCAGGTTCGGCGTGTGAGTATGGATCACGACGTGATCCGCTCCCTCCGAGACCTCTTTGGCTACGCTGTGCGATTTCAAGTGGCTGGCAGTTCGCTGGTGGGCCGTCCTTCCGGTTCGAATCCCCACAGTACCGGTAGTTCTCCCCCTTGGAATCCATTTCGATCACGCCCAGGTTTTTTTCGGGAGCGATGCTGATATTCCTCAAAAAACGGGTAGTCCCCGAAAACATGAATTTTTCGCCGGCCAGGTTCGGCAGCGAAACGCGCGCCGGGGTCCAGTCCGATTTGACCGCGAGTGGTAGGCCCGCCATCTTGTCGGGTTCCAGACGCTGACTGATATTGCCGCCGTTGGCTTCGCACCAGCCCAGAAACCACATGTCGGAACTGGTTTTTATCACTTCCTTTATGAATATCAGATCATTCGTCGTCTTCATATCATTCTTCGTATTTCTATTTATTCAGTACTGCGGAAACCGGTTTGCCCGTTTCGTCGAACTTCGGTATTTTCCAGTATCCGTATCCGATGTGCCGGGCGTATGCCCGATCGAATTTCCTTTGATGGCGTCGTAAACCAGCAGTAGGGTTTCGTCGTCGACCCTGAGCACCGAAGGGAACCGATCGCTCCGGTCGCCCATCCGTCTTTGGTGCACTTCGCATCCACGACTACGGCACTGTTGCGGTCATCCCAGTGATCGACGTCTTTCGTCCAGTACACGACGTTGCAATCGGTCGCGTTGTACTGCTGGTTGAATTGGTTGGTGAACAGAAAATGGTAACCCGAAACGGGGGTCGAAATAGTAATTCGCATTTTCGGGGCCGTCTTGTTCTGACGTCGTTGGGAATCCTTTCCCACTCGCCGGCACGCCGGCGAATCCGCCCGGGATCTCGATCAGGGGTCCCAGTATCGGCTTGTCGACCCGCCATCCTTGCGGATTCGGATCGCCGTCCCAATCCTGCACCGCTTCGAGGTCGTTCGAACGGACAATCGCAATGTTGGCCCCGCAGGTCGCGAACATCATGTATTTCAGGTTGACCGTATCTTTTTTGCCCTGCCATTTCGGGTTACGATCACGGGGCCCGGAACGGTGATCCCCTGCGGGAAAGAGCCGTTAGTGCCTTTGTAGAAAGCACCGATTTCTCTTTCCCCGGTTCCCTGTTGATTTGTTTCCATTCGCCTCGATTCCTTTCGGCCTTTGGTTTCGGCTTTCGCCAGACAACTCGAATAATAGACGGCCGGCGTCCCTACGTCGTCCCCGATCGGGCGGCTCCGTCCGCCCCCAGGTAGTAGGCGTACCAATACTTCGTGTCCCGGTCGTAATAGAGCCATGCGCTCGATGCGCTCCAAAAGTCCTTGTAGCCCTTTTCGGCGCCTTGCGGATCGTCGTCGACGCCGCATTTGAGTTCGGCCCCAGCCGTTCCCAGTTTTTCAGATCCTTGCTTTTGGCCAGGTGGGTACGCCACAGGTGATTCTCCGCATCCGTATCGCCCGGCTGATGTCCCTCGTGCGTAGCGGCCCCATCGTAAAACAGGTAATAGGTGTCCCCGACCTTGTAGATATTGGGTTCGCGCATACCCCGACCGTCCGATTCGTAATACCGCTCGCCGGGCTCGCTCGGCGAAATAAGGATTCCCCGGTCGTCGATAGGCATCCGGTAAGTGGCCACCGCATGCTGCCCGAACGAAACGCCCGCATCAGCGCCCATACGAATAAAAGAAAACGGAAATTACTCATCATCTGTTGCTCTGTTTTACCGGATATTCGCAATGCTGATAATGTCCGCGAAGACGCCTGCGGCAGTCACTCGGCTCCGGCTCCGTATCCTTTGATCTGCATCGGATACTCCTTATAGCGTTCGGTTGTCAGCAGGATTACGTTGTTGCTGCCGGCCAGGTGGTAGAACGGGCTTTCGCTGTCTACCTCGCGCAATCCCACTTCGGTCTTGCCGTTTTCCATCGTGGCGATGAAACGCCAGCGCTTACCGCTCGCTTCGAGCTTTTTGCGGCGCTGTTCGAATTCGGCGTCGATCTCGGGAATTTTACGCCAGAAATCCTCGACCGATCCTTCGAAATATTTTTCGGGGATGAACAGGTGCTTTTTCACGTCGGCTTGTTCGACTCGGTACCCGGCTTCGCGGGAGAGAATCACCAGTTTGCGGATTACGTCCATGCCGCTCAGGTCGATCCGCGGGTCGGGTTCGGCATAACCGGCTTCCTGTGCCATTTTGATCGCTTTGCTCATCGGCACGGTCGCGCTCATCTCGTTGAAAATATAATTTAGCGTTCCGGAAACCACCGCTTCGATTTTCAGGATGCGGTCGCCGCTGTTGATCAGATCGCTGATCGTATTGATGATCGGCAGGCCCGCTCCGACATTCGTTTCGATAGGAACTTGACTCCCCGTTTACGGCAATCGATTTGAGTTCGTGGTAACGGTCGTATTCGGACGACGCCGCGGTCTTGTTGGCGGCCACGACCGAAACGTTGTGCTCCAGCAGATCCTTGTAGATATCCGCAACCTCGGCGCTGGCCGTGCAGTCCACGAAAACGGAGTTGAAAATATTCATCGACAGGATCGCATCCCGGAATGCCGCCGGCGTCGAGACGTTTTCCGAACGCCGGAGTTCGTCGCGATAGGTCTTCAGGTCGAGACCGTCGCGGTCGACGATATACCGTTTGGAGTGGGTCGCGCCGACCACCCGGATCTGCAAGGAATTTTCCTTCATCAGCTTGGCCTGCTGCAGGCGGATCTGTTCCAGCAAGTTGCTTCCGATCAGTCCCACTCCGGCGATAAAGATATTCAACACCTGGTAATCGGACAGGAAGAACGAATCGTGAAGCACGTTCAACGTCTTGCGCAAGCTGTCGAGCGACACCACGAACGAAATGTTGGTTTCCGAAGCCCCCTGCGCGCAGGCGATCACATTGATCCCGCTGCGGCCGAGCGTGCCGAACAGTTTTCGGCGATACCCGGCGTGTGTTTCATATTTCGCCGACGATCGCGATCGTGGCGAGATTCGGTTCTTTTTTGATCTTATTGATTTCCCCCAGCGCGATTCCTGCGCGAACTCTTCAGTCAGCACTTCCATCGCGAGATCCGCGTCGTCGTTGCGCACGCCGATCGAGGTCGTATTTTCGGACGCCGCCTGCGAGACGAGGAATACGCTGATTCCCGATTTGGCGAGCGTTTTGAAAATCCGGTAGTTGACGCCGATAACGCCGACCATGCCCAAGCCTGGATCGTGATCAGGCAGGTGTCGTTGATCGACGAAATCCCTTTGATCGCCCGGCTGGCATCCCCCGACGACTCCCGGAAATGGCCGTGCCTTTCGAATCCAGGTTGAACGTATTGCGGATCACGATCGGAATATTTTTGTGGTAAGCCGGGAAGATCGTCGGCGGATAGATCACCTTCGCTCCGAAATTGCATAGCTCCATCGCTTCGACGTAACTCAGGTGCTCGATCACGTACGCATCGTTGATAACCTTCGGGTCGGCGGTCATAAAGCCGTCCACGTCCGTCCATATCTCCAGCGCGGACGCTTTCAGCGTCGATGCGAGGATGGCCGCCGTATAGTCCGATCCGCCTCGGCCGAGATTCGTCGCGTCGCCGTTGGCCAGGTCGGTTGCGATGAAACCGGGGACGATCGCCACGTGAGGCATCTTTTCGAAACGGCGTTCGATCAATTTTTCGGTGGATGCGAAATCGACCACATGGCGGTTGAACAGCGGTTTGGTTTGATGAATTCCCGCGCGTCGTACCGAACCGAACCGGCAACCGCGCCGCATACGATCTCCGACGAAAGCCGTTCTCCGTAGCTGAGGATCATGTCGGTCGTTTTTCGGGAGAGATCCCGGATCAGGTAAACCCCTTTGAAAATATTCCTCAGTTCGTCCAGCAGTTCATCCAGCCGGTTTTGAACTCCCGGCCGGTTTTCGGGCAGCACGATCTTTTCGACGAGTTCGTTGTGGCGGGCGATCATGGCCGTACACTGGGGCATATAAGCTTCGTCGCCGGCAGCAGCCGACGAGCCGTAAGCAACAGTTGATCCGTTATGCCTCCCAAGGCCGATACCACTACGATCACATCCTCGAACAGGATTCCACGATTTTCTTTACTTGCGATAGCCCTTTTTCGGAACCGACCGAAGTCCGCCAAATTTCAATACTTTCATCGGTTTATTTTTCATAAATTACGTTTAGTCTTTCGGCACCAACCGGACGATCCGCCTTTTTGCCGTTCGGCGAGCCTTCCGGCGCGAAAATTTCTCCGCGCTTTCAACCTGCAATAATAGGGAAAAAAACCCGCAAAAACTAATTTCGACACCGATCCGGGGGCATTTTATCGGTTTGTTTCGTGTGCCGAAGGCTCGTTTACTGGGGCTCCGGTTGCAGCGACAGCTCCGCAACGAAACGGCGTTTCCCCGGGAAAGCCTCGGGAGCCGTCGCTGCGAACCGGTATGCAAATTATAGCGAGCGGATGTTACCGGAATATTTAATTTGTGCGACATTTCCGAAAAGCAATGCATTTTCGGTTTTTTATTGTACTTTTGAACCGCAAAACCAAAAACAAGTTTTATGAAGTTGAAAGATGTTCTGGCCATCTCGGGTCAGGGAGGATTGTTCAAGTTCGTGGCGCAGAGCCGCAACGGCATCATCGTCGAATCGCTGGCGACGGAACGCGCACCTGCGCCCCGGCGACCGCAAGGGTCAGCTCGCTCGGAGAGATCGCTATTTTCACCGACGGG